AGCGTCTTAGGTCAGACGATACGATTATCAAATCGATCATCGACTTCTGTGCACAAGCTTCCCGATACCAAGTGTACTGGTGCACTTTTCGATGCTCGAAGAAGGTATTCATAATGGACAATCCGTTATTTGCACAAAACCGCAACAACTTCCTGCCGTCATTGTTGAGGTCGCTAGGGCCGTTTTTTCTAATCACGCCGTTCCACTTTCCAGCGTCTACTACGACTTGCGCTTTAAAATACGCCCATTAGAATTATAGATTCTACGTCTTCGAGGAAAGACTCATGTTCTCCCTCGATAATGAGCACATCGAATTGTAACAAGGTCAAAGATTTAGCTTGTAATTTCAGTCGGATGATTGCCACTTCCCCGCTGACAGGCTTCCATTGAATGATTCTGCAAGCTAGGTTGGGTTTTACCAGAATCCAATATCGGCCTGCTGTCGACACGTAAATAGAATAGCTTCTATCCGCAGCGGTTGAAAATGCCAAATCCTTGACACTTTGCTGACGAGTCCATCCATGTTCGGGTACATTGCGGACTCATCGATTAGGTTCTGCTCTTTCCCTCTAAGGGAGGAGATATTCCAATTTCTGACTATGAGCTCCCAATGGCGGTGTCATTCGAGTGGAATCATATTTGACGTGTTATAATTGTATTGCGCTGTTTCCTTCCTCGGTTCAGAACGAGTAGCGCTTAAACTGCTGACTGGTATCTTCGACGTCTTTTTGTCGATCTGTGGCAAAGCTGCCGTGCTGCTACGCCTCTGACTGCCAGAAGGCGATGAGCAGGTTTTGATCGGTTACTTTTCATAGCCTGTCCCAGTTCCCAAACAGACCATGTGGCAACAGCCCCTTGGTAACCTGGGCGATGACCGAGCCGTTGTAATTTTCGATGGTGTTGATGCCATGAGTGCAGGTGGCGAACTTTAACGGAGACTTCGCCAAGGTCTTCAACCCTCCTCCTTTCACGCCCGAGATTGGAATCGACAATGGCGGAGTTTCGATCCGCCGTATCAGCAGATTTTCGTCATGGATTTTCAACGAAACTGTCAGTGTAGGAGAGACTTCTTAAACAGCCTTCTAAATGCAGTGCATCATAAGAAACAAGAATTTGAGGTACATGCGCTAAAGTAATTTGGGTTAAGTTGACTTCAGGGACTAGCTCAAACTTGACGCTTTCATATATCGACCACCAAAATTGTACATGTACAGAAAACGGCAGCCAGTAGTTTCAATAACCAGCCTTGTGGCCAGCCGTTTCTCTGCTAGGATAAGGATGTGTCAGGGTTGACCGTTCCTGCCTATTTAAAATAATGGATGAAAACTAATGCAATCTCAGGTATAGCAAAAAGTCGTTTGTGCACCTGCGATACGCACAAAACGACTTCAGCATGCCACGAAACTGATAAAAAAATAAGGTTTATTCTACAAATGAATGGAACGAGTCACACAACATACCAGGTTTGACTGGGCTATCAGCCCTCATCAGCCAGAATGATTCGACTCGCGAATTTATTTGTGGGATGCTTCACCGATCATTTGGCAAATTTCAACCAATCAATCAATACCTTCATTGCGTGTTTGTCGCTTGATGTGCAGCTGTTATGTCTCTCTCCGCTGTTGACTTCGTCGACAGGTCAGCTGCTGCCTTCACTCTGTAATTCATCAATTCATCTGGCCCTTCAAAGCGTTTTATTAGACTTATCCAGATCCTGGACGTTTCCAGTTCACTCACTCTCTTCATTATTGTTCACTGTTTCTATCATTCAAGTAATTCAGATGACTGGGTGTCAGATCTTGCTTCGGCGAAGTCAGTACGGTGGCTGAGAGTGATAAGATGTGTGAACGCTGATGTTATTTCCAACTTCGTTATAGTCGCTTGGCTCATCATTAACTGCTTGCTCGCTCGTTCTTGTTCGGCAGCTCTAACTTGTAAGAGTCAAGATGTTTGACTGAAGAATCGAGAGCTAAAGTTTGACAGACGATCAGATAAACAACGTCTGCCGCCTGTTCTGGTGGAATAAGAAATCAGAAGTGATGGCCATAACTCCACCATGGCCGGTCCCAAGCCCGGATGAGAAAGGAGGAAGGTTGGAGACCGTGGCAAGTCTCCGTAAATTTCAGCCACCTGCCAACCATGGTAATTGACGCCATCGAAAATTATACCGGCTCGGTCGTCGCCCGGGTTACCAAGGGCCGCGCAGGCTGTTGGGAGACTGACGCAGACTGCGAAAAGTCGGCGATCAGAACCTGCTCATTGCCCTCTGCCAGCCGGGGGCGTGGC